CTATTTAAATTTTTTTATTTATTTAAAATTTTAAAAAAGAATAAGTTATAGTAAATATGTAATAATATAGCAGAAGAGAAAATATGACTATAACATTGCTTAAATAATGTCTGTGTATGTCATATACCTACTATGCATTGTCCCATCCGTATGGTATTGGAACACTTTATGGTTTTGTAATATCTGCGTGTTTCATGTCATTTCAGGGCCTTTTGCCCTGCGGGCTGCTCACTACAAGGGTGCAGTCTTGTCTTATTCTCTTTAACCTTACTGTTATGGAGGTCATTCTGACTTTGCCGTCCTGCTCCTCCTCATTCAGTGCTTCTTGAATTTTGTTACTGCTTTTAAAGTGGTACAGTAAATTAAAAAAAAAAAAATTAAAAAGTGTTCTGTGCTTGTTTCAGTTGTACTTAAACTCCTTTGGTTTCATTATTGTTTGATAGATTTTGTTGCTTGAAGTTCCCATTGAAGGCCAAAAGAAAAAAAGAAAGAAAGTTTTGTTGGAAACTAAACTGCAGGGAGGCACTGAGATAACCCAGAGCATCTTGGATTATGTATTAGAAGCCACCAAACCAATTTCACCAGCCAATCAGGGTATTAAAGGTAAAAACATTTTAATCTGATGTATTGTTGGTAGCTCTATAAAAATATTTTAAAAATTAAACGGGCATAAAAAAGTTGTGCAAAAGCATGAAATTAGTTTAAAAAAAGAAGGTATGTTTTGAGGTTCGTCAAAAAAACCCCAAGCCAACTATACAGTTAAAACCTTTAATTTACCTTTGTTTCCCTTTACGTTCCAACTCTATAAAATGCTTGCTAAAAGATTTTTATTAAGTGATACTTTGCCTGTCTGTACTACTTCTTCACATCAAATTGAGATTTACAGCTGAACAACTGGTAAATCAGATTGAAGGGAGTTTTTTTATCCTTAATTTCAGCTACAGCTTGACTTGAACTAGTGAATTGATCGCTTCTAAAGTCTGTTCTAAAGCCAGCATTGTTCAGTAGACAGTATCTACATGAAAATATTTCTGGCATGACCGTATCACTTACAGATACAATTTGATTAGTACATTTTCTTTTTCACTGTTGTGTAGCTAGTCTAGCAAACAACCTCGCACTTGTGCTGACAAAAATTGTTTTAGCTGGCGTATTTCATTTCCAGACTGGTATAAACTATACTGACTAAAGCACTTTCTTTTTTGCTGCGTACCTCATCTCTGCTTTGTAAGTAAGGTTATGCTGGGAAGGTTGTCAGTGTGGACAAGACAATGCAGTGCTAACAATTTATAAAAGGAATGCTGGCTGCATGGTAAAATGTTGTGGGTGGCAATAACTGGAGTTGGATGGACTTAACAAAGCTAATTGAGCAGCAAACATGAAATAACATAAGACCATTAATACACATTGAGGAATGCCTAGTAAAAGCAAAAACTGTGTGTTTCTTAGACAGTTTAGAGAGTTTTAAATTGACTCAGACAGAGGGCCCAAGCATTAATAAGCACAGCTCAGTGTGGCCACTGCTAAAATATGCAGCTGAGGTCAGAAAAGCAAACAAAATGCTAAATTCTGTAAGAGTAGAAGGGAGGATAACATGGAAAATACTTTCCTACCACTACATGAATAAAGCATTCACCCTAATGTGGAATATAGTATGCAGCCATGCTTTCCCATTTCAAAAATAATCTTGTTTAACTTAAAGATAGGTGGTGGTTTGGGGGTGAATGCTATGAAAAATCAGGGTTATAGGGAAGTTGCTATGAAAAAAGGGGTACAGTCATGTAATTTTTCATGTTAATGGGTATATACATATCCTTTTTTCACACGTATTTAGATTTTCTTAGCTTGCTTTAGATTATAGCTCATAATAATAATAATTTTTTCTTCCTAGAAATTAGGAAGATTGAGTCTGGTAAGCTTTCAGATAGCCAACTCCAGATTGTTCCTTTTTTGCTTTGTTTTGTTGGTTAATTAATTATTTTGGGTTTTTTTTTTAATACTGTGCTAGGAAAGCGCGTAGTGTTAATGAAGAAGTTTCCTCTTGATGGAGAGAAGGCAGGCCAGGAGGCATCACTTTACATTGTTCCAACTGTTGTGAAAGGTAACATTGAGCATAATTTCTGAAGTTGCACCTGTTTTAGCAGAAGTTCAGTTGAGGGTTTATTAAGATTTTTTATGAATATGCTATATGGCCTTTTTATGTATTTAAACATTAGAAGTTGCATTCAGGTGGAAACCTCTCTCTGAATACTTTAAAACTTGAAGAATTTACATTAAAATTAAGGAAGAAACTTGGTTTTAATGTATTGCCTTTTTTTCTGTAATAATAGCACACTTCTGGTTTAAGCTGTATGCGTTCACTTGATTATATTTCAAAACATATGCATTAACTTGTATAGAACTTACTGAATGCAAGTCTAAGAAAGACATCCTGTTCAGTTCAGTGTTATTTACTCAGAGAAGAATGCTTACTGAAGTCTGTAAACAGTTTTGTTTGGATAAGGAATGGTGACTAAAGTCTTTAGAAGGCAAAGTAAATTGCTTGTCAGGAAAGCATTTTTAAAAAAATCCTGAAGTGAAAGTCTGTGGGCTTTTGGGGAAACTCCTTCATTTTTGCCTTATTGATAGGCCTTAAGGATAAAAACTATCAAATAAATAGTTGGAGTTACCAATAGCAATAAATACCTCTTCCAGTCCTGAGTCCTGTTATTTTATTTTTTTCTGGCAACAGTATACATTTAATATTAATTCCTCAGTTGAAGCTGATCACACTGGTGGAATAGTAACTGAACACCTCAACGTTTTTAAGGCTAGCCTGTTGAGTTGTGAATTGTTATGTAAGGATTGTATATAATTGCTATCAATTATCATTTGGAAAAAATTAAGTTACTCTAGTCTAAAGTTAGAATACACTCTCAGTTAGTTAGGAACATGTAACTACAAAAGAGGCAGGAGGGAAAATAAGGTTCTTCTCATTGATGTGTCTTCAGAGTATGTTTCCTTTTTAGATAATACGAAATATGCATACAGTCCTGGATGCCCTGTGTTCTACTGTTTACAAGACATCATGAGAGTCTGCAGTGAATCCAGCACCCATTTTGCTACGCTTACTGCAAGAATGTTAATTGCCTTGGATAAGTAAGAAATGTCATCAGTAAAAATACATTAAAATAGAAGTTAAACAAGATAATTTGTAGATGTAGCGCATAGTTTTTATAGCATTCTTGTGATTAAGAAGGAAATCATTGTGATATCATGTTATTTTCTTCATGTTTACTAGAAACTGAAACCTTGACAACATATTTCTAAATCTTTTAAAAAAATCTTTTGCAAACTGAAGAATGGTGTGTTTATGTAAATCAAGTGGCTTTTTGGAAGTTCTTGCTCACAGGGAAGATTTTGTAAAATCATATAAAATACTATTGATTAATCTTCTGTAAGTGACATAATTGCCATCTGTAAGATGTGTAGTAAAAATACCCTGTTAATTGTATATCATTATAACTTGTATTTAAATTAACCCCCCATTAACAGAGAGTGCATATTCCCCAGTCATACAAATTTATTTGCAGTAGGGAATTAACTTTCAGAAAGGTGATTAGTTGTTTAGCCAGATTTACGGTAGTTTGAAAATTGAATACGTGAGCAGTTTTGTTTTTTTTTTTTTATATACCCTTAACAAAGAAATACCAGACCTACTTATGCATGAACTTACTTGCTTTAAGTCAGGTGAAACTCTTGGCTAACATGAAAAATTGTAAGTTACAGGCTATTGCCTAAAAAGGTTCCATGTGTAGGGTTTTTACAGTTTATTAGTAGAGTCATAATATTTCCATGTATGCCATTGTGCCAGTTGTTATATTTATTTCCTACTTAATGAGTGCATTCAGACTCTAAGCTCTGCTTAAGATGTTTTACCAGCCTTACAGTTGTGAGAGAATCCATGGAAGTACAGTAGAAAACAGTTCATGTTGATTATTCTTTATGTATGTAACCTGAAACAGTACTTTTCAAAGGTTCAAACTACCGTAACTAATTTATCTGCCAACTGTTTAGAGAAAACATCTGAAAATACCTCAGAGGGGCAAGAGGGTGTTTATAGCATGATGATCACAATTTTACAGTCCTCCTTCCCAGCAGGACTGTGAGTAAGTGAAGAGAGCACAGCTTTTGTAGCACGTGGTTGCTTGGATGTGGGACTTAAAAATCCAGGCCTAAGCACATGCATTGAATTGCAGGCCACGTTCTGCCATCCTTACACGTGGTTCTGGGACAGACAAGATCCAAGCAGTCTGCCAGTGGATCTATCTTTCCAAAGCATGTACTTACCTTTCTTCTATATTTCCAGGCTAAATCACTAAACGGAATTTATGGTATTCCAGCGAAGTAAATGTTTGTCTCAAGCTTGTGAGAAAGTATGTGCTGAAACCTTAAATACAAACCTGGCTTTAGACCCTTAGTTAAAATGTGCCCCATTCAACATAACACAAAAATAATTTAGCCATTCAGTGAAAATACAGTTATTCAAAAATCCTGAGCCCTGTGTTGTATAGCATATGTGGCAGAGAAAGTAAGAGGGCTCTGAAGCCCTTCTATGCTGTTAATAAGAGTGCACTTGGAAGAGAATAACCTTCAGCACAGCTTTGTGAAAAGGCAGGTGGTAGCCTGTGTGAAAGAGACTTGGCAGTTTGGAAACTACCGAAGAACCTTCTGATTTTTTGCCTTTTCCCACCTCTCCCTAATGAAACACATGAGTTGGAAGGCTTAAGTCAGAACAGATACTGAAACTTCAACTCGCCCTTAAACAAACTGCTTTAAGTTTCGAAATTTGTATGTTGAGAGTAGTAATACTGATAAAGTGAAAGTAAACGAAATGGTGACATGTTGGTGTGGTTAAGTGTTTTGGCTATGATCAACGTTACCTTAGCTTATGATTTCCTTTTATTTGAGAGTTTGCATCCGCAGGAAATGTGTTTGAGCAAATACATTTGCTTAACTATATTTGGCTAAAAAATTTCCATGTTTGGGGATTAATTTAGTGCTATAAAATTGTCTGTGCACATTATAAGTAATGATATAAGTAATACAATTTTTTTTTAATTGAAATGTGTGATTATCATACATACAACCCTTAATCAAACAAAGTAATGGACAGGCATGACCAAAATAGTCCTTTTCTACCTGCAAATGAATTACTTGCCCATTCTGTCCCGCAGGTGGTTGGATGAACGGCACACCCAGTCTCACTCCATCCCAGCTTTATTCAGACCATCTCCTCTTGAGAGAATTAAAACAAATGTAATAAACCCTGCCTATGCTATAGAACCTGGTCAAACAGAGAGCTCGTTACACATGGGTTATACTGCCCTGGAAATAAAGAGTAAAATGCTGGCATTGGAGAAAGCAGATATGTGTATCTACAATCCTTTGTTTGGATCTGATCTTCAGTATACCAATAGGGTAAGAACTATATTTTAATTTTATATTTTTGAAACATACATACACGTTCATTTTACAATTCATTAATTTATTTGATATGAGTGTGTGCTTTATGTTTAATATAATTAGATTTCTTTATTGCACACTTACAGCTAAACAGTTTTTCAAATCCTCACAGTTGAACACCATTCTCTTTAATTATAAAATGTTACTATCATAACTTTGGTTTCAAGAGACTACCCGGCCTGGATGGGGGATTATTTAGCCAAATTTCAGTAAGATATTTTTTCAGTTGTGTTTAAATTCTGTCTTCACAGGTTGACAAAGTGGTAATAAATCCATACTTCGGCCTTGGAGCCCCAGACTATTCAAAGATCCAGATTCCTAAAAGAGAAAAGTGGCAGCGTAGCATGAGCAGTGTCACAGAGGACAAGTATTATGTTACATTCCTTTTTCATTAATGGATAATTTTGTGTTGTTATATTACAGTAGTACTTGGTAGACTTGGTCAGAATGAGATTCCTATTACTTTAGGGCTTTACTGTATAAATACATATTTTAAAAAATCCTATTTGAAGACACTAAGTACTGAGAAACACAACAATTAAAGGATGGACTGAGAAAAGTTTAAATTATAAACATTAGGGAAGCATTGCCTGGCATAATGAATACAGCTGTGGCTTGACTACTGCATGATGAAAATACTAGTTGTATGAATACTGACACATTTTAGCTGCATGAGCTTCATTTTTATTCTTCATGTAGATCTACGGTTAGCGCTGTGTTAGTAACTTAAAGTCAGTGTTCTCAACTATTGAAATATTTCTGAACTCTGTTTTCCTCCTGTTTCCCCTTTTAATTCATAGGGAACACCAGTGGGTAGATGATTTCCCTCTTCACCGCAGTGCTTGCGAAGGCGACTCTGATTTACTAAGCCACCTTCTGGATAAAAAGTTTTCTGTTAATCAGTTAGATAGTGACCACTGGGCACCTATCCATTATGCATGCTGGTGAGTCAGATGAATATAGTTTTGCCAGTCAAATGCATTCTTGCTATCATGATTCTGTAGTGCTACTTATTTATGTAAGTTATCATACAGACTCAAAAATGTGAATTCAAAAGAACTCTAGACTTTTTACACTCTGACTCTAATATATGTTAGTGTTAACCTTCTGAAGAGAAAGATTGCTTCAGGTTTTGAGGTAATTTCAATCAGAATGGTTTCAAGGTATGGAGATTCTATCATCAAACACTTACCTGTTGGCTCTTATGAAGCATCTGTTCTAATTCCTGTTGGAGACACTGAGTCTAGTTTAGTTTGGTAACTTTTACAGTCTTTGTTGGTTAAAGGCTGTGAGCATTCTTACAGCTGAGCTGAACACATTTTGGTGATGGTCAGGCTTTCAGTGGGAAGCTGGACTAGGTGATCTACGGAGGTCAACTTGTCTGACTATAACTCTGTGATGATTTAATCTGTAAGTGCTTGGAGAGCTTTCCTCAGTTGTTGTAAAAATGCTTTTGTTTTATCTTTATGCAAGTTACTCTCCTGTATTTATAATAGTGTCTGATGACACAAATAACATGAAAATCAAACTTGGTTATTAAAAACAAAAATTTACTTGATTTTTAGTGTTTGTCAGAAAATTTGCATAAATGGTATACACAAGATTTACCAGTTATCAGCGTGAGGCTTAAGAGTCCTCAGGATCCATCTGCATGACAATCAGAAGCTTTAATCTGATTCTCACACAGATTTTCTTACTTTTTTCAGACAAGGCTGAACTCTGTTTTGCCATGACTGAATTGCTACAACTACTCAAACTTAGCTAGTTTAAAGCAAGGTTCTGTTTGTCTATAATGACAAATGGTTACTAGACCGATGGTTACCAAAGAAGTTCAGAACTGATACTAATTTCTACGAACTTGTTAATGTTTCATTGTCTTTGGGTCATTTCAAAGCTGAAAACCCTTGAGCATGGAAATACAATTTTCTGTATTTAGGACTATCTGAAAAAAGATTTTATGTTTGCTATGTCTGTTCTGCTTTAAACCTGTCTGCAGGTATGGAAAAGTTGAAGCCACTCGAATGCTGTTGGAGAAAGGGAAATGCAATCCAAATCTTTTGAATGGCCAACTTAGCTCTCCTCTTCATTTTGCTGCTGGAGGTGGTCATGCTGAAATAGTACAAATTCTACTCAATCATCCAGAAATTGACAGAGTAAGTCCTGTCTGTGTATAGAAATAGCAGGTTTAGCAACAGTTTCTAGCTTGTGTATGTGAAATATTTTGTGTTTAGATCACAATGTGTAAACACAATGATTCTGTTGAGAGATTACCGAAAAATGGTTAAATATTTTTCATTACCTCTACTTTTCCCATTGTATATCAACTAAGTGTTTAAACTCTAGGATCAAGGAGTTTAATTATCTCAAAAAATGTTTAAATGTTTACCTATCTCCAGTGAAAACAATGTATTATCACTGTTTCTGTTTACATTTGTAGCACATTACTGATCAACAAGGAAGATCTCCGCTGAATGTCTGTGAAGAGAACAAACAAAACGAGTGGGAAGAAACTGCAAAACTGCTGAAGGAAGCCATAAATAAACCTGTATGAGTTTATTTTCTAAATAGTTTAAAGTTTATATTTAATTTACACATAAACTTGTAGAAGAGCTAAGCTTACTTATAGCTGTTACTGGAAATGCGCAGTAGTGAAATTGTTAGTGTAAATATTGACAAACTGACATTTTGTCTCTTTAAATGTTTCTGTCTATGTTTATTGCTCAAGAAATATATGTAAGACTTTAAACGTGATGTTTTGATTTATTTGTAGGAGCATCACATCAGCTACTGATTTTATGTCTACTTTTGATCATAGAACCATCAGGTTGCTTTATGCATTGTCATCTCAACATGTTGATAAACAGGAGCATTCAGCTGGCCGAATGTAGGCTTCTACAAAAATAGACTTTACATTGTCCGTGTAGGCTTCCTTTGCAGACAGGGGAGATCTAGCCAGGACAGTAAACAAAATTTACAATGTGATTCTTCTCATCCTGAAGTTGATTTAAAATTAGCCAAATGATATAAAATCACCTGTTTGACTTCAGATGCAACTTGTGTATCTGTAGGTAGGTGGCAGTAAACCTGTCGGTTTTTCAAGATGTTTTAAATTATCTTCATTTCACTCTATATGAATGAATCTTCCAAAAGAATTAATGAAGGAATTGACCTCCTTTATTTTAGGGATCTTATTATGCAGTTGATCAAATGGCAGATATGTGTCTAATGACTCTAAAAGACTAATGCACACATTTTACGTAGATTTCACAGCGTGATAGGTGATATTATGTTGTCACTTATTACTATTGAATTAATACATTAAAATTTAAAAAAAGATAGAAATTACTGCAATACAAGCACAATGACTACTGCAGTGAAAATAGACTGATGTTTTCCATTCCGGCCTCATTTTCAGTCAGTTGTCATTTTCCAAGGCATTAATCTTTTTTTCCAGAAGTTTTTAGGAACTCAGTTCTTGACAAGTAAGTAGATTTGAAGAAGGGAAATAACAAATTCCCGCAACTTTTTTATTCAAGCAGCTGAAACATTTAACCTGTTAGAGAGATGAAAACAAGAAGTTGAATTGGTTTATGACTTGTGTGTATATGCTTTAAGCACCTGATTTACATTTAAGTACATCTTTCAGGAGGCATACTCTGGGCCTACATGCAATTCAGTGGAAGCTATGGGAGTTCTGAAGGGAAAGATGATTTATTATTAGTAATATTATAGAAGTGCTAAAAGATCTTAGTGAGATTGTGTTCTTATTGTACTGGGGTCTGTATAAAGGGTGGTGCTTCCCTCTGAAAAGTCTTTTTACTATAGACTAATGAGGGGAATAATTTGTAACCTGCCAGTAATAGTGAGGCAGTCATTTTGGGATATGCGTAGGTGGTTGAGCCCAAATCCTTCAGGGAAGTTTTAAATGCCTACTTGCCTTTGAGTTCAAAAAGTCCTCACAGTATCAGTAAGATCTTTCTTGGAGTTATTGTGGTAAAAAGCACAGTGTAAGAACTTGCACAGGACATGAGACAAGCAGTTTTGATAAACAGTTAATATGCAGGAGTTGTGCAATGTTCTTTTTCTCAACAGTGTGGATGTTGCTGAATTATGGTAAAATTGCTTTCCTCTTCAGAAGCATCAACAGAAAGGATTTTAACAAGTTCTTTGTTTAATTTCTTTAAATGTTTATGTAGTATGAAAAGGCACGAATTTATCGTATGGATGGGTCATATCGCTCTGTTGAGCTGAAACATGGAAACAATACAACTGTACAGCAGATAATGGAGGGGATGCGTTTGTCTCAAGAAACTCAGCAGTACTTCACTATCTGGATCTGTTCTGAGAACCTCAGTAAGTAACGAGGAAGATCGTTATACTTGAGAGTTTATCATATTTTTTTTATGTCTGCTTGCCTTTAAAAAAAAAAATCTTAGGAAATAGGAAACATGCTCACTGACAGTTCTGTATTAGCCTCTTTCTATCAGCTTTTGAAGGCCATCCTTTAGGAGTTAATTTGTATCTAGGCTGTCTGTTAATACACTTTGCCCCTGTGAGACACTCTAAGCTGTGTAGGTCTCATTCTTTCTATCTTTTGCATAGGGAGTGAAACCAATTTTTCTATATCCTTTGCTTAAGCTTTCCTCCAGTAGATCAACCCCCAGCCTTTACAGCCTGATGTCTCCAAACTGTGCTTTCAGAGCTATAGAGAGCTTCTCCATTTTAGCCATCATTTTGGGTACCCCCAATAGGTCTGACCCTGTGTCACTGTGGCATCTAGAATGTATTTCATCTAGGAAGGTGAGGCTAGTCCAGACTGCCTTTCTGTTACGGGGCACCTTTGCTGTCATAGTCCTTACTGCTAACTTACCCTGATTTTAATTGTATTTTTATTCCCAGAGTATCTGAAATTGGATGCATGTAGTTGTTTTTACCATGTTTAATCTCTTTAAAACTAGTAATTAAAGTCAAGCTGACGAATGTTTTTTTTTCATTAGGTCCTCTAATCATATGAATTTTCATGTGGTTTGCACCAAACTGATTTTTGATAAACAAGTTTTCAGATATATTTGGTGGGAGGGAATTCTGATGCAAAACATCATTATTACATTTGCTGTATTTTTTGGTATTTCTGGTCTAAATAAAAAGTGTATTATAGTTGTAGTTTCAGATATGTAGCAAAAGATAAATAGAACCACAAAAGAGTCAATGATTGTCATTGTGTTTTGTCAGAAAATGTGGTAAACAGTACTGCTGCAACAAGATAGCTATGGGACACATTATAATGGATTTACAAAGCACAATTCAGGTCTGGTAGGATACTGTGGTGACAGTACCATTAACACAGAAGCCTTGCATTTAAAATTTTATTTACTGTTGTCAGTCGTCCACTACAGTGGCATTGTTACTTTTTTTTAAAACCTATAAATATTGCAGGAAGTCTTTTCTTCATTCTTCTCTAATTTTTTTCTCCCACTGTCATGCCATTTGCCTTTTTACTTTGCTGTATGCCACATCACTACCGTAACCCTCAGTTAAACATAGATATTAATGTCTGGAAGAAAAGGAAGTGTTTGAGTGTTGAAGTCTTGCTGCTTGTACCTTTTCTAAATATGTATGTCATGTTTTACTCAAATCATTGAAGTATTACCCTTGCATTTTAGGGGAAGAGCTCACTGATACATTGTTCGTTTAAAAACAAGTAATTCTCTAGATATTTAGTCTAAGTTTGAAAATGAGTCAGCTTCTGATTTACAGCTTCAAACATCTAATGGACAAATTTCATTATAAAATGTATGTCTTGCAGCTTGTGTACAACTGTAAAGACCATAGTTTTCTTGTTTGTAGGATGGATAATGTTTTTCTGTGTTCGAATGTAAGGTGGATAAGTTGAGTGAACAGATTTATTCTCAGTGAAAAGATGTTGCACTATAACATGTCTTTTGAAATTTTTCATATAATGCGATATGTCACAGCGTAAAAGCCAGAGCAGTGAGGATGAGGTAGATACAGCCTTCTAGTGCCTCACTACTAGAAAACAGCCAAGCAATAATCACAAGGACTGGCAGGGTGAATGAGCAAAACTGAAGGTATGGACTCTAGTACATCATAGGACTGTAGTCGAAAGCTCTGTATTGATTTCTCAGCTCTCATACACAGGAGAACATGAAACATTGGATGACTGTAGCCTGTTAAGAATCGAGACTTTTCTTTAGATTAAAAAAAAGAATGTCTGTTCTGAGAAGTTTATGGTTTATATATATCCAAAAATGGCAAATACATTTATAAGATAAGCTATATCTGTATTTTTCTGTCAGAAACAAGATTATTTGACTTAGTGTTTCTCCCATAATAATTGAGGTAACAGTCTCTAATGTTTTATTATTGTGTTTTTAAGGTATATAGCCGTTTAGAAACCGTAGGGGAAAATGTTTGTTAATGAGACCTCAGCTTCACGTACTCTGGTTCTGGTGCAGCATTTAATCATATATATATGTGTGTGTGTGTGCTGGGTTATTCTTTTGTTTATTTATTAAAAATAACTTATTTTTCAGGCCTCCAACTGAAGCCATACCACAAGCCTTTGCAACATATTCGAGATTGGCCTGAAATATTCACTGAACTGACAAACTTGGATCCTCAAAGGGAAACTTCACAGCTTTTCTTGAGAAGAGATGTGAGACTTCCACTGGAAATAGAAAAAAAGGTCTGCACTAAGTGATAGCATGAAATCCTGGTCAGAGTCAGAACACTTTGACCATTAACACTCAGCGTGCTTAATGACTGTAGTAATTTCCAAACTTACTTAAACAGGACCTCTCCTTTCCTTTTCTGTAATAGTTTGAGTCTTCAGGTTCTTCCCTCCCTTTCTCCCTCCCTCTCGCCCTCCCACCCTCTCTCTTTTCTCTCTCTCTCTCATTTCTCACCTTCCCAACTGTTTGGTTTATCATAAGTCTATGTGCCTCACTCTGTCTGTCTGTCATACAGCTAAAAACAACCTGCCCAGTTTTCTTTCTTTTCCTTGTGCTGTGATTTTTCAGATATTTAATTGGACCATTTCAATGGGATTATTCAAAGATATTACTCAAAATGGATTCATGGGGGGAAAAAGCACAGATGTCAGTATTTCTGTGGACCTTTTGATTGGGCATGGTACGCTAGTCACCTTTAATTTTTAAGTGTGTTCGATCAGTGAAGTCTTGAATTAAGTAAATGAAAATATGTCATTTTTTCTATTACAAACCATTACTAAAATGTACACTTCAGTCAGGATCACACCTTTGTCTTCTGTCTCTGAATCAGTGAGAAATTGTACTTATAGTTTCTAAGCTCATTTTCTTTTACAAAGAAATCATATTATTTAAATCTTTTTAACAGATTGAGGATCCATTGGCTATTCTTATCCTTTTTGATGAAGCCAGATATAATTTACTGAAAGGTTTCTATACATCACCTGATGCCAAGCTGATCACACTGGCAAGTCTGCTTCTGCAAATAGTCTATGGGAATTATGAGAGCAAGAAACACAAACAGGGCTTTCTAAAGTAAGTATGTGTGTTTAGAACTTAAAAGCATGGTTTTAGATGAAGTATTTTTAGATAGCACTTACTATGGAACTCTCAAATTTTAGGTATGATTAATTTATTATTGTTCTCCATCATTGAGCTCTAGTTCAGAGTAATCACATAACCCTTGTAGCATTAATAGAAGCTGGACATGGGGTCTGAAAAATAATTAATCTTAATTATTGCGGTCCCAGGCAGAGGGATGGAGGTTCTGTATTCTGTAAGTCTATACTGACGTACAGTAACACCAAAATGAGTAAGAGTATTCCTGTGAATGAAGGGTTTTGACAGGACTGAGACTTTGGACGATGCTGAAGAAACCTCTTACTGTGTCCAGTTAGACCAACTTCTGGGATTGGCTTTCTTCCCTCTTTGAAGAGGACAGACCATGCAGAGATATTATTTCTGTTCTCTCATTTGTATGTGAACTGCTATACTAAATTGGTCAGAAACATAGCACCAGTAGGGCTCTGCCAGATGGTGCTTTTCTCTCCCCTTCTTTCTGCTTGCCAGCACAACAGTAGCTGAGCTGTTCTGGGATATGGCTTTTTCCTCCCACGTACGTTTCTGCAGCAGTATCTGAGCACATCAGGATTCCAGTTCTCTACTGTGTGCACCTTCACTCCACCCCCCTACCATCTTCACCTCAGTTCATTCATGTAACAGCAGCTGTGCTATTCTGGAATGCTACTATACTTCTCATTGCCTCTCATTCACAGCATCAGCTGAGCTGTCTTGGCTTGCTTTTTTTTGGTTGTGTTCTCCACCATCAGTAAATCAGGGTGCATTTTCTGCTACAGTTATGCTGATGTAAGTGTGGGCTGCCTCTGAAAGGGCTGGCTGTACTGACTGCACTTGTTTGTTCCTTTCTTTTCCTTCTGTTAGGTGTAGAGACTGTACCATTATGGAGTAAGCTAAGTGCATGAGCTCACTGACTGGAAAACTTTAGGGTGGGCTGTTCAGTAGGTTCAGCTGTTGACCTGTCTTGTCCTGCAGTTGCACAGTTGGTAGATAGAGCATAAGGAGAATTGGTTTTGAGTGGGACTGCCCACACTGCAGGAGCATGCAGTTAAATGCAACTGGGTTTAATACAAAACTACCCCTGCTGAATCCCAGCAGCTGCAGGGTGGTGTTCCTTTCCACACTGGGGCAGATGAGCAATATAGCTATGAGTTGAACCTGCTCAATGGAATTGTTTGACTCTGTAGACAGGACTACTTGGAAGGATAGTTTGGGCAAGATAGAAGAGCCTTGTGGGCATTAGGGCATGCTTTCCATCCATATTCAAATGAAGATGTTGGCAAATATCTGTCTGTTCTTCTTCAGATAGATGAAAAGATTTATATTCTGAACTTTTTTTGTAGTAGATGTAAATGTTTTATCAGAAGACTGGTCATTTAAAAATTATATTCAGGCTGTTGTTTGTATGAGGGTGTCCCTGACCTGGATGCATTGTCCTGTGCAGGGTTTTTGATTGGTAGATCATATGTGCAGTTACTGACAAATGTATTTTAAAAATACTAGATAGTCTCAAAAACCTAGTGATGCAATCTAGATTAATTGTGCATAAAAACAAACTAGCAAAGGCTTCTTTTTACTGTCTTTCATTTGGTTGTGGGTTTTTAAAGGCACTTTTTATAAATAGCTTGACTTTCATATCATGTAGTATCTAACTTTCATGTGGAAATAAATGGGCCAAATCTTTGGTGGTGCTGAATACAACAGTGAAGGGAAGAGCACCTATAAGCTGTCATCTTTTCTGAGTATGTAATCATAGAATCATTTAGATTGGAAAAGACCTTTAAGATCATCCAGTCCAACCATTAACCTAACATTACCATAATATTCTGGTATAAATAAATGACTGTTCATATATCATTTTGGCTTCCAAACTGGAATTCAGCAAACCGGTCTGTAATCAAGTAAGAGTTATGTGTTCTGCTAGCATTTTCTCTCCGTGCCATGTTCATGATGCACTGACACAAAGTGTGCAACACAAAGCTGGATCTCCATTAACTGAGAATTACACTACATCTTAGGAAGCCTTAGCTTACGTTTCAGGAATGCTTCTCACCTGACGAGGCAAGACAGAGTGGGACCTGAGTGTCTAGCTCAATATGTGACTTGAAGATACCAATGGTCAGACATTGTTCTTTCTCCTTACTTTGTTTAGTGAAGAAAAACTTTTTTCTGCTTTGTTTTTCTCTTAGTGAAGAAAATCTTAAATCCATAGTACCAATCACTAAACTAAAAAGTAAAGCTCCTCACTGGACAAACAGGATACTTCATGAATACAAGGTGAGATACATAATCAAATAGTAGAAAATCCTGTCTTAAACATTTTGACTGTTTGGTTGTCAGGTAATGAACAAAAATACTGGTATATAAAGCTAGAAATGTGTGTGTTCTGAATTTTTGGGATGGATTGGAATGCTGTTGTACAGTTACAGTTGATCTGTTTGTTAGAAGTAAATATCATTGTCATCTGTTCATTTATCTTCAGTGTTAACTGTGTATTGGGCATACTGCCAATTCAGGCATACGTGTAAAAAATCTACTCTGACTTACATTTTCACATTTGGTTGCAGCGATAGATCCACAAAGTCCTTTTTGCCAATGTAACTTGTATGTTAGGGATCTGGTAGTGCTGCCAATGCACGTGTGCACACACACACAAACTTCTTTGACCAGAGCAGTTAACTGAGCAAAATTTTTAAATGTGGACTTGGGCTGTTTCTGTAAAAGACATCTAACTAAAGGGCTGTGGATTCCAAATGCAGTCAGAGGCACCTGAAGGTTAAATTTGTGAACTTCATAAAAAAAATCTAGAAAAAGTGAAGTGGGTTGGAGAACTGTACTGGCTAACATGCATCACTAAACGTAGCTGACAGGGAACACCACAGAGGCACCCAGGGAATCTTTCCAGGCCTTGCTCCTCTTTTGAGATGAGGTTACTCAACCATAAACTTCCTCTTGGTGCTCATACCTTTTTGTCAGAAGTCAACAGATCAGCCCTGTTCTTTGTAATACACATGAAGGAGGGTCTGATGGTGGTCTTTCTAAGACTATGGTACAGCAGAGGGCATAGCAGAGTAGTCTCTACTCTTTCTTATATCGGATAATACGTAAGAATGAGCGTAGCTTTCTTGACTTCTGCTCTTAGGCCATTATTTTGGGGTATGGGGAAGGGGGAAAGGAGTTGCAGTCTTTTGTTCCAAAAATATTCATATATTTTACAGTTTTAAAATGGCTGTGTAGAATTCAGATAAGCTGTAATGCGGGGTGTGGATCCAAAGAAGTTCGTCCCATCCATCACACCCACAGTCATGGCCCGCTAACTGTTCAAGGCTTGTGTTCTCTCTCATGCCTGTGCCTTCTTATCTCATGTGTGGCCCAGCCAAGTTTTTTGTTTGTTAGGGCACTTCACATCAGTCTGTTTTGAGGCGGGAGCACTCTAGCAATCCTTTGTTGTGACTGTTTCACTCTAGTGAAGAGGAAGAAACAGAAGCCTGTCTCCTTCTGAAGGAGGGCTCCATTAAAGAAAACTGCACCTCTCTTTTGCTTAGAAAAGAAAAAATCCATTATTTTGGGGGGGGTTGCTTGCTTACCTTACCATGCCTCACTGGATTGGACCCCTTAAAGGAGGAAGAATGCTTAGTTTTAAGGATTGTGATGCATTTACTGTGAGATGGGTGCATAGCTGCTTATCCCTGACAAATCCAACATACTCCTGAGAGAAGCAAAATTGTGGGGCCCTGCAAAGGTTAGGTGTCTGTGGCTCAGATTTCTGAGGCTCATACAGGTATCTGCTTTCTGCCTCAGACTCTTTCGGCATTTGAGCCTTTCTGTGGCTCTAGGTTTTAATTTAGATGTAGGAAGATGGTTGCTGGGAAGGCACTTTGGGAATACTTGTTTAGTGGGAATTTCACTAAATAGTGTTTTTTCTTCAAATAATCACAACTATTTGGAAAGACTTGTTGATTGCCATTGTTCCTTTATTTCTAGAATCTCAGCACCAGTGAAGGTGTAAGTAAAGAGATGCATCACCTTCAGCGCATGTTCTTGCAGAATTGCTGGGAAATTCCTACTTACGGAGCAGCTTTTTTCACAGGACAGATATTCACCAAAGCAAGTTCAAGTAGCCATAAAGTCATCAAAGTGTATGTAGGAGTAAATGTAAAAGGGCTGCACCTCCTCAACATGGAAACAAAGGTCAGCTTAAGTGAACTGCCAATGATAACTATTAAACTTAATTGTGTTCTCTTAAATTCTTTGTGCTAGTAGTCATTTCCCATCCGACTATTTGGTTAAACTTGACTGTGAAGATTTCCAAGATTTGAAGATCTTCATAAGGCACTACTAATAGGCAGCCTTGTATTTTTCCACTTGACTCCTTTATAAGCTACAACTAGGTTGTGGAACATACTGTCCTAAGTCAGAATCCTGTCTAAGTGAACTAAGGAAAGCTCAGTTTGCAAGTATGGAGAATATTTTCTTAGTTGACTGTTTCCTACATTTCATTATAGGCTTTACTCCTCAGCCTAAAGTATGGTTGCTTTATGTGGCAGCTGGGAGATGGAGATACATGTTTTCAAATACACAGTCTGGAAAACAAAATGAGCTTTATTGTGCATACCAAACAGGTAAACTGTCATTTTTCATCCTTTATGTTCAATTATTTTTTCCTAAACTAGATACATGCCTCTTCTCTCTTGAGATTGACCACCCTTGTACAGTATAAAAAAAGCCCAAACCAAGCCCCCACAAAAATGATCTTTCTTTTTAATATTGCAGAATGTTTGCTTGCTTTCCTAGCATGTGAAGCCTTTAGGGTTCAAAATACATAAAATGCATCTGTAATCATTAGGGTAAACTTTTTTTTTTTTAAATTGAAACTGTTTGTTGCATATGCCCAATCCTTCAGACTCTAATGATAATTCCAAATATGATGAGAATTGCAGTTAGAGCTGGTAAGTTTGCTATCGGAAGTAGCGGAGTTTGAGATTGAATAAAACTGAGGATCTGTGAAGGCAGTGTTATAAAGCAACTTCACTGCAATTGCTACCAGCAACTTTTGATAGTGTTTCTGGACGTCTGATGGAAAATGCTTGTTTTACCCATAGTCTGCATCAGTGGTAATGTGCCATGTTCAGATGTGTTGTGACAAAATTACAGCTTTGAGCATCTTGCTTATTTTGACAGTAGTTGCTTTTGATTCTTATATATTAAGGTGGTTATAGGGGAAGTGATTGAGTATTTTGAAAAACACTTTCTGGTATCTGAGAAAAACCTAGGGTTTATTTTCCTTATTTCTAAAATTATGCAACTTCTAACTTACTATTTTTATCTACTTGCATTTGTCATATACTTAAGTTAATCATGTCATAGTTGTGAAATGCTGATAGAATTTAATTGTATACCTTTATATAGGCAGGTCTCGTCGTAAAACTTCTGATGAAATTAAATGGCCAGTTAATGCCAAGTGAAAGAAATGAATGATGGAAATGAACAACAGCTACAAACCAGCATCTTCTGGCTAAGCAAAAACCAACTTACTTCTCATCGTAACAGAAGACTTCCATGTACATGAATTTTACACAATAGAAAAGTCAATTTGTACAGTTTTTTAACTTTGTACAGAAGCTGCATGGTTTATTTTTTTAAAAAAACTATACAACATATCTATTCTTTTTATAAATATTTTTGTGTTTCATATATAAGCTATTGTAGGGCTTGAGCTTACCCAGTAAAGCTAATGCAATGTAAATGGTTTACTGAGTTGGACGAGCATGAATCAAGTCAGGCTTTTGTTCCCAGAGGGCTATGGGACTATCAGTGCTATTAAGCAAGTCTCAGTTAACCTATTTACCTTTTGTGTCATTCTGTGGAACATCAAGGAGGTTGTATATGTTACGGTATTTTGTAGACACTATTTTTAAGATACTGTTGATAAGTATGCTTAAAAGACCAGTTAGACCTTTGAGCAACTACTTTTGATAAACTCTTGGTTTTTATTTGGTTTCTGACAAACATTATAGCTGGCTTTATTTTTACTCTTAACTTTCTCATACTTTGTATTCATATTTATTCTAAAATATTGCATGAGGATGTCAAAAGGGAAATACTTTAAATCATTCAGAAGCCATATTAAATGTCTAGCATGCTTGTTTTTTAAAAAAAAATGGATTTTTACTTTTGCTGTGCAATATAAAATGTGTATATGGAGGGGGAGATACAGATTTACAAATGACTCTTACTCAGAGGACTTCAGAAAGTTTAATAAATATTACCCTGGATTGCAACATATCTGCAGTAACAAAAACTCATATAGGAGGTACTAAGTTATTTCTGTTGAACTAATTTTCCTACTCATTACTTCAGTTTCTTGAGGCTACAAGCAGTGCAGGATGCAGGAATGAAGATTTATAATGCAAGAAACTTGGCTACATTTTGTAAGCATTATGCCTGCTCTTTGCAGAATCAGGATTGGGTCTCAACAAGTTGGGTCCCAGGTGTAAGGTGGGACCCTATGCAGTCTGAAATGTATCCTTGTATGTTAAAATAGTATCCATAACACAAATCTTTAAAATTTCTGGTTGTATTTCAGGGTTTTAAGTGCACTTGACTATTTTTTCCATGTAAACTGCATGCTAAAACAGTGTGCAATATTTTGTAAAAAAGTTTAAAAAAAAATTAGCACTTGCCGCTAAGTTTTCAAATAAAAGTTAAAATGAATGTTAGAAACTGTGCTGTTGTGTAGTAACTTTACTCATACCTTACTACTAGTAAGTCCTGTTTAAGAAATTAAAGTAGTAAGCAGTTAAAAAAAGTGAATGGGAGACTCTTATATTTTGCAATCTTCCTAGCAAGCTATACTTTTCTACTTAAACTTCACTGGCATAAATAATGGTAAATGGATTGTTACATTTTATTTAAGGTAAACAGTGCAACAGTCAGGTCCTTTGTAGTGCACCCTTGCTCTAACTTGGCACTGGTATCAGAAATACACTTCTCTACATAGCACTTTGTTAGAAAACAAGAGGAAAAATGTTAAAATGCGTGTCAGTTGCGTATTTAACAACAGTATTAATATGCCTTATTGCTGTATAGTTCTTTTTGCTAGATTCTTATTTACTACTACTCAATAAATTGCAACAAGTCATGTTTGTTGTTTTTGTTATTGCAGCCAGCATGAAACTGCCATCAAGTGTCTTACCAAGCAGGTATTACTTCCAAAGACCAGTATTTTGTAACAGGCTCATCTTTGCAAGGTATGAAGGAAGATCATCAGAGAGGCTTACAGCAAAGGTCCCATGGTGACTACAAATTACGGTAGTGCACCTTGGAAACCCCTCAGGAATTCATCAGGAAAACTGGAAACTTAATCATGGCAAACCAGAAGTTTGCAGATGTTGTGTGTCATTGGAATCATTAAGCAGTGAAAGCCTGGTTGCACAGTCCTAGCAGGTTTCTGGTACCTGGGTACATAGGAGTTTCAGTTGTGTTGCTGCAACAAAGAAGGTGAGTACAATCTCTTCATCTAAAAGTCGGGAAATGTAAAATTGGAACAGAGAGAAATCCAACGCTGTAGAGACAGACCACTAGTAACAATCCTCTTATCTGTACCAAACAAAACAAAAAAAAACAAAACAAAAAAAAAAAAAACCAGAAAATGAGCTGCAAGAATGGCAAGTCTGAAAATTATGCCTTTGTAAGCAAGAGGCTCACCTCCTATAGCTTATCTTACAAGCACTTTTTTTAAAAATTGAGTAACTGTATAGCTGATGAAGCAAAGATCTGAGAGTAGAATACTCCAGCCAGGCACAGTAAGGCAAAAGAGTAACTGAAAACTTAAAACTCTGAAAAACAGGCACAATTTTATCAAGCAAAATAATTAATTGTCAGGCTAGCATGCTGACCTCAGGGTTGTTCAGGCCTCACTGTGAGCGAGGAGTGGACCCATCCACTACTGGCTGCCTTTTGCCGTGGTGAAGCAAAGCTGCGTGATTTGAGGTTGACCGACAGGCTGAACTGCGGCAAAACTCACAATCACCCACAAATTGGACTCTGGCCTTAAATTTGCAGACTCTATCATGGCTCTGGCTCCAGTGTCGCGCCCTGATGCTGCACTGGTGCGGCTTTCCCAGCACCAGGGCTTGGTGTGGTGGAGGCTGAGGTGGGTGCCGAGATGGGGTGCCAGCCTCCTTTCCCCCCGGCCGGGAGCTGTTTGAGTTCAGGGGCTGGTTCTGCCTGCGGCACGGGGAAGGCAGCGGCTTGTCTGAGAGGAAAGCCTTGGTCCTGAGGGAAACCCCTCACGCAGCCCAGATGTCCTCCTGGCTGCTGCTTTGGTGACAGGGAAATGTTAGTCTAAAAAGGTAGGGGGTTCCCTACCGTTGTTAGCTCATGGCTAGATATGCTTCAGAAAATGGGCTGTGACTAAAAAAATGCATGTACAGGCTCAACAGAAACAATGTACGTGGTTTGCAAAGGTTCTGCTTGACCTGAAAGCTCTTTTATTAATATGGGGTAAGGATATTATAATAATTTTGTACAACTTTACCCCATCAGCGGAAAGACTTTCATTAAAAGAACTAGGAAAAAACATAGATCTATTTGAAGGACTTGTGTTTGAAGACTTACGTCATAGGATGGTATAAATCTGCCTGTAAGGGGAGAGGAAGGCATCAACTAATACCTTTGGTTTGTCAACTGGAAGTCAAGTGAAGTTGCAAAAATACTGTTTTTTATGATGATACATCACTAGTGCAAGATAACAAAAGTTTGACATAGTAAATTACAGATTAAAGCAGGAAGAATATGCAAACACAGCTCTGGAGAACTGCAGAACGTCTGCTAAGCTGAGCAGTGCCTGTTGTCTGAGATAGGTCAGGCTGTTCTATGAAATGTCAAGCAACAAATCACACATTTGTGGTGTATGTTTTGTGATCTGCAGTCTATTGTCTGGAAAACCAAGGTATTACAGTAGCAAGCACTGCAGTAAAGTAATTCATTTTTGGGGGTAAACAGAGAACTGGAAGAATTCACAGATGTGGAAGAAGTCTAGATTTTTATCAAGATCTCTTACTAAAATTGCTAGCTCAGTCTACTAATGTTAAAACATATTATTCCATATAGGTTTCACATTTAGTTTGATTTATTAAAAAATACTGGTAAGAATCAACTAGCAACCCAGAAAAAGGAACAATGATGGAAAATAGATCAAGAAGTGATTTGCCTGAACAAAGGTATGAATGTGAATTCTTAGCTGAGATAAATGCTGCCACAGTGCCTCAAGGTGTCTCTGAAACAGGTGTGAGAAAATGCACACCACTTACATCAGCCGAAAAGGATACTGGAGAACTCAACCAAGTCCTTTCAGAAGCTGGCAGTGGAGGTGCCAGACCAGTCACATTACCATCAGCAATGAAACTATGTGATGAAAATGGATCGTCGTATCTGTTGTCTGAAGAAAAAGATGAGAATTTCACACTTAGACTAAATGATAAAGGACTAGGGAACATGCCTCTGCTTGCTTTTGAAACCCCAAATGTGAAGTATTTGCTCTTTCACAGCAATGAAATAAAAACGCTGCATTCAAATATAGTTAATCTAACTAATCTGGAGATCCTGTTACTTGAAAGAAATAGACTGACACTGTTGCCACCAGAAATACCCTTACTTCATAAACTGACAGTACTGAATGTCAGTCACAACCAGTTATCATGTCTCCCTAAAGAATTGTCAAAGCTTGTAAATATTAAGGAACTCTCTCAATCAAAACAATATTGATGAATTTCCTTTTGCACTGAAAAAACTTGAAACTTTAGATCTTGCAGAGAACAAGCTAAAAATTTCACCAGATACCGTAGCTGACATGAAGAATTTGAAGGTACTCAATGTTGATTCCAGTCAAATCTCAATATTCCCAAGGGTTCTCTGCTACCTTTCTCATCTAGTAATCTCTGCTACATTCCTAATCTCAGCATATATGAGAACTTGATTCAGAGTTTACCAGAGGGTATTAAAGAGCTCAAGAAACAACAAGAATTTTCAATTAGTAACTATAATCTTATATTTTTGCCTGTGCGGATTTTCTGGTTGACAAAACTAAAAGAACTCAGAGTTGATGATAACAAATTGGAGTTTCTTTCAGCTAAAGTGGAGAATTTACGAGAACTTAGGTTTCTGAACCTTGCAAATTTATTCAAAAGCATTACAGATTATCTTTGCAACTGTACCACGTTGAAACATCTCATTATACATAATAATCAATTAACCCAACTTCCTGCTAGTATTCACAGATTTAAACATTTAAAGGAGTTATCTTTAAGTAGAAACCTACTGGACTTACTGGATGAACAAATATCACATTTAAAAGACCTCTCCAAAATAGTGTTTTCTGGAAACACATTAACATATGTTCCTGTTGAATTAAAAAATTGTATACGGATAACCAATAATAAGCTCTCTCAGTTTCCAAATGCATTGTGTGCACTATTTGATCTTAAACCCTTAAATCTTAGTGGCAACTCTATTTCAGAAATAATACCTGGAATTTCTGACATTAAAGATTTGGAGCATCTAGAGTTAAACAAAAACAAACTGTCTTCATTTTCTGCATGCCTGTGTAGCCTTACAAATCTAGTTTACTTGGGTGTAAATGAGAATGAAATCAATAGCATGCCAGCAGTGGTGTCCGAGAGGAAGGCTCTCCAGGTACTGCTGTTAGACCCTAGTCAGTGTGACTCATTGAACTGTGTTCCTTAAAGTTTTTAAAAATGCTTGATATTTCAAATAATCAGATAATGAGTATTCCTTTCCCGATTAGCAATCTGGAAGTGATCAAATACCTAAACATGTCAAACAACCAGTTTGCATCTTTTCCTTTTGAAATATGTCATCTTTCTTCACTGGAGACATTGGCAGTGTGTCGAAGGAATGGGCTGCAAAATTAGTATTAATAGACTTCCTCCTGACAGATGTAAAAGCTCCTGTGTGTGAATAGACCTAGAGTAAATAAAGAGCAGAAAAACAGTTTCTAGAGAGGTGTCCTGGTTTTGGCTGGGATAGAGTTAATTTTCT